CAATGGATCGTGGACACCTGGGCTAAGGATCAATCTCAAGCGTCGTCCGTTTGTTTCGCTTAATACGTCTTATCCAGTGCGCTTTATGTATGAAAATAGACAAGAGAATTCAACATTATTGATATTGCACCTTATAATCCAGTGCGCCTTACAGTCCGAAAAATACGGTAATCTTTTATTACTAGTCTGTATATCTCCAAACTCAAAATGCTCTGTTCCACCTTGTGATGTCATAAACTAGAAGTTTTCATGTTTACAGCTATGTTTTACCCTTTGTTTAGTATGGATTGCAAATTCCAGAGCTGAAATTATCCAAATGATTTGAGCGAAGGTGTATGGAGTTTAAAAACACAGAGGAGAACTTCCTGTATTACCACAACTGGAAAAGAGTGTTTTCTATTTGAGAGAAAAACTCCGCCTAAATATGCAGGGTGTGTGTGTTAAACATGTATGAATGGAACAAAACATAACTTCAGGTAAGTTTTTGATGAGGAAACTACAGTAGAACATAGAACAGAAAATAGTGTAATATCTGCGCTTTAAGTTAAACTAATAAAAATCTGTTTACAGCCAATTTCTTTATTTAATTACTTTAGTATTTTAAAACTGTGAAATTCCTCATGACGCTTCCTATATTTCCAAAGAATGCCAGTGTTTGTGCTCTATCTCTGTCCCCAGCAGGAGGTAGGCCACGCCAGTCTTCCCTCTATAGAACGCGCACGGGCTCCAAAGGTCACGCCGGAGGAGACGGTTGTTGTGTGATCGAGCTCTGGCGTCATGGAAGCAGCGGAGATGGCATGTCTGCTCTCCCATCCATCAATAAGGGAACGTGAAACCACTCTCTTTCCCCGAGATGGATGGACCGAACACAATGACTTTGATGAGGAGGAGATCAGCGTGGCTCCATACTGCTGATTTGTGAGAAAACACTAAACATAATCTAGACCGATATGTCCTGTCTAGTCTAGTTTGAGTAGTGGCCGCTCTGGGGTAGTGCTAATTTTCCATAGTTTCTTTCTTTTATATTTAAATTTTTAGCCTTTTGCCATGTTATAATGTTGTTTCCTCATCAAAAACGTGCCTGAATAGGTTTTCGATGTCCATAATAAGGCTCCACCAATCCAGCTTTTTCAGTTCCGATACCGATTCTGATACTATGCCTTCAAAGTACCCAATATGTCAGTACCCAATATTAACTGACACCAATCTCAAGACAAAAAACAGCATTAATTTCCTTAAAACAAAAATAAAATAAGATAAAACTGATACAAATTTGTTATGTAACTCTTATTTAGCTCTCATGTATCTACAGAATCACTTAAATAAGCGTAAATAAACATACATAACAACGGAAATAAAAATTCAAACATTGCATCAATTTAAGTTCTGCCAGGATATTGGCTGAACTGATATTTGAAAGCCGATATCCGTCCCAGCAGATTTTTCAGTATAGGCACTAGGGATGGGCATGATTAGTCGACTAATTGATAATTGATCAATAAGAATTTTGTCAGTCACATTCATTTTCAATCGACAAACCGAATGTAGGTTGCTGTGCGTAGTGTAGTGTAAGGAGATGAGGCTGCGTCTGACACAAACACTGGAGTTGTCCCTCACAGTCCCACGTTTGGGCTCTGGCTCCTTGGAGATCAGTGAGTGTGTTTACATATACATCAGTGTCCCGGGTATGATCGGGTTTTTTGAGTATCCAGGTTTCGTCATGGTGCATGTAAACGCAATATCCCAACATAAAGTTGAGTGCGCACGAGTCCAAAAGACAAACACTTTTCAGTCTTTTCATCACAACAGCAGCCAGAATAAATAAAGTGACCAACATAAATAAAGTGAGTGAAATGACTATGCTAAATCTGCACTCGTCTGATCTCTGAAAACATGAACCACCTTCAACCTGACACACACAGAACACACTCACCATCAACATCATCATCAACATCCCTCTGTCACAGGAAGAACACTCATATTCCACTAAGTCGTGTCCTTTAGTCTGACAGAAGCTGACCACATCAGTGCTCAAGGAGAGAGCTGTTTTTTTCAGAGCTTATAATTTATGCAAATGAGTCATGTGGTTTTAAGTTTCACAAATGTATCAAAGCTGCATTAAACACATTATAATGTCAAATGGGCTGGTGTGGCTCTAGAGTGGTTATGGTTTATATGTTGTAACGTTGAGATTATTTAAGCAGATTAGTAATAGTAATAATAATGCTGATCATTTTAATATAAAAACATGAATGATTAATCGAAATTGAATCGAACGCCCATCCCTAATAGGCGCTGATATCCAATACCCTATTCGAACCATCCTTACGGTCAGTCCGCACACAGCAATTCTCCATGAATATACAAACGCGTGATACAAAACTGTACAGAACAACTTCACAAGCCTGACGCAATGTTCAGTAGTTTCATTAAAAGGGTGCTCTGAAGGGGAAGTGACTTAGCACAGGGAGCAAACGGAGGGCAACTTCTAAAACACGTTAATACATTGTTTTCTGCAAATATAACATTTTCAAAATCAAAGGTAACATGGTGATCTAAGTATGTTATGTATTAGTTGATTATCGAAATATAACAAAAAACTAAATATCGTATCGTCAAAAGTCACACAATAATATCGTGGTTTATCACAACATATATCAAACCACACGTCTTTTTGCTTAAATCTACTGTTATGGTGCAGTAATAGCTAAAAAAAAAAAAAAAAAAAAAAGAGGGAACTACAAAAACCATGATCTTTTGCTGTTTCAGTGCAGACTACATAAACAAATAAGTTTTAAATTCTGATTCTTTGGATTATAACTGTACCAAAGTCTGTTCAATGCATTTTAAAAGGAAAAGTAACATATTCCAAATTTTATTAGCCTCTACAAACTATCGTAATCAATACTGTATCGTTACATCCCTAGTTAACATCCCATAGAAGTAAAATACGCCCTCTTTAAATAAAGTCTGTCTTGGCGTTGTGTTGTGTGTTATACATAATTTAGTAGATATTTTATTGGATGAGAACCACAGAGTATAACCTAGGTGTGACGCTCCAATTCCCAGTCTGTCCATTAGATACAGTTGGCTGTTTATGAGGTAATGCCCATTAACAGAAGGCTGGAACTCCTCCATAATGGAAAACAAACCAATCGTTTAAAAGACCGCTCTGTCACCCACTGTTGAACCACTACGAGAGCAAACGCAGACTTCGGGAGTAATATTGTAACAAACACAGACACAAAGGCACGGAAAAAAACAAAGTGGTCCAACTGTTTAAGTGTGTGTAGCAGTAGCAGTGAACTACATGCCCTTTAACGTCAACAGAAAGATCAGTTTATTTTTTCTGGAGTGAAACTATGTCAACTGTGTGCTTTAAAGTGAAACTAAACAGTAAACCCGTTGTTTTCGCTTCTAATCTGTGTATATGTCTTTTAATAATATTGTCTATAATCAATCAACTCTTTAGTGCGTGCGCTCGGAGGTCCGGGGGCCAGCTCCGACTTGTGGTGCCTGAGACGAGACTTAAAACCGGGCCAGCTCTGGAACGCTCAGCCCACATCTGAACAGCCCCCACAGTGAAGTGTTTTGTTTTAAGTTTCGTCTTAAGACTCACTTTTACTCTCTGGCTTTTAACATCGTGTGAGTTGTGTGGTCCTCTGTGTCTTTGATTTAACTTTTATTTGTTAGTTTTATTCTTTTTTTTTAATCATTGTTAGCTTTATGCATTTTAACACTTTTATTTATTGTCTTTATTTATGATTTATTGTTTTATTGCATTAATTTGTCTGTCGTGTTTATAAAATGTGCTCTGTAAATAAAGTGGATTGGATTGAAACTGGGTCAGTGTGCAAGCCTGATTCATCAACTGTTTTCACTTCATGAAAACTGTCTGACCTCGCAGCATTAGAATTTGTTCACTTGATGGTACATTTTTCATTTAACCAATTGCTGCTATTTGGTCGTGACGTACGTGATTCACCATTAATGGGGTTAACTGGTATATTAAGCTTTTCCCAAATCCCATAGGAAGAAGGGCAATAACGTCTTTCCTATTGATAAAATTTACCAAACATTCTCTTTGTTCCAGCTTTAAATCCTTGATCTCGGGAATCGTTGCCAATACAGAATGTCTGGCTTCGTCAACATCCATCTCGACCGCTTTGTTTACTGTTGTGCTGTACCACAAAAGGGACCCAGACAGGCGTGACGAGTTTGACGTCACGGCTTCACAGCTCTTCGCTGATTGGCCGGTGCGCGGTCTACAACTTCCGGGGTTCTTGCAAACTGTCAAGTGTAGTAGTTTGATTCCTGACCTAGTCACTGGAGAGAAATGAAATTAAGCGGAGGCACTAGGTGGTGCCAGCTTGATCAATTTGCAGCTTTCTTGTCAAAAATGCCTAAGTCTTCAAGTTTCAAGTAGTTGGTGGCATCACACATGACTGCCCTGATTACAGCCACGTGTTTCTGATTACTAACATCTGGCTGCAGGGGCAGACTTTGAAGTGTGGATACTTGTTAGACCAATCACACTGTTTCTCATCCCCCCTCACTCTCCCCTTTAGTCCTCCAGACCATGAGCATCACTATGACACCTTGCTGAGTGCATCTATAAAGCATGTTATCACATAAAACCACGTGGAAGCAACTGCCTGTCTCAGAAAGTTGTCTGCCATGGTACTTGTGGTGAAATTACTGTATGTGTGAGTGTTGGTGATGGTGCAGATGGATGGCTCCATCAGTCTGCCCAACAATCATATTAATATAAGCACAATATGAGACTAATTATTATTATTATTTATTATTATTATGATTAGTGGGTGGAGATACTACTATTACTGCTACTTGGCTGCAGAGATGGAAGTTGGTGGAAGCCCAAAATATATCACACTAAATATATCACAATACCACAGGGCATTTTTCCTCCAGCTCTAATTTCAATACTATTTTTATTCTTTGCTGACATGTTTTTTACAGAAAAAGATGACAACACTCACCTGGACTCCGAGGATGCCGAAGATGATGAAGAAGGCGCAGCAGATCACCACGATGTTCCCGATGGGTTTGAGGGAGGACATCAGGGTCTCCACCACCAGCTTCAGGCCTGGAGCTCTGCTGATCACTCTGCAACACAACACACAACATCATTGTGAGGACAACAACTGCTGGACAGGGCTTGGTGTACTTGGATATTTTTGGATAGTTGTGGCATTTTTTTTTTTTTCCCCACTTGTTTGTACGCATATTGAATGTGAGTCAAGTTACACATTGTTTTTTTTTGTTTAGTGACCAATCATTGGTCGCTAAACGCTCTTGTCAGTTGGTAGAGGTGTCGCTCCTTTGGGCTTCACCTGTTTCTTTTTACCTTTGCTTTGAACCCTTCTTCACACTTTTTGGCATTTCATGACCCTGACATGGCACAGGTCTGACGCAAAAACCATTTCAGGAGACTTCATCAGGAAGTTCATTTAGAGAAGTTCAAGGGTTTGCAGCATTGTCCAAAAAGCAAAAGGTGGATACTTTGATTTTAATAAAAAATAAAAATGTAGAATAATTTAACAGTTTTTCTTTACTACATTATTCTACACATCTTGCTTAATATATTTGGTGTCTTCTGTATTCATATAAAATGTAAAAAGTAGTGAACATGAAGGACAATAAACTGAATGAGAAGGTATGTATGTCCAATCTTTTAAAGGTGCACTGTGTAACTTTTCTGGTGGAGGGTCTGTCATCTTCTGTTTCTGTTTCTTTGGATACATCATTGCTCTGCCTGGAATGTTCCACAGTATGACATTAAACAGCTCTACCTCACATTGATTCAATTACAGGTGGGTTTGCATCTGAAAAATACCTTGAAAAACAGGCACAGACAAAGCAAGAACATCTCCATGAAGAAAAGCATCTGACGGACGTTCCACCAGAAAAGTTACACAATGCACCTTTAACCAGTACCTTAGCCCTAGCGTCCCAGGACTGTATGATCCCTGATACGATACCAGACATTTGTACGGGGGCACTTTGAGGCCACGGTCCCAGCAGCAGTGGGAGCAGATGGAGCTCAGATGCCCTGCAGAGTCCCCCCTCCTCACCGCTCCAGAGCCCTCCGGCATACACTGACTTTGCATTCTTTTAATACAACACTGATACTGACCTGCTGGCAGTATTTGCAAGAAGAATATTGGGTTCCCTGTTTAAGATGTAAGGTCATGTAAGTCTACGAAAAAATTGGGATGTTAAAGAGCTCGTATGACTATTTTATGATCTATGTTTTAGTGTTTCCTCACAAACAGATCTGGAGTTGAGTTTTGTTTTATTCACAGATGTTTAACACAAAAATTCAGCAAATTTAGGCTCTATTTAGTAGGGATGTAACAATAACCAAAATATCGTGATATCATATCGTCAAAGTTCTCACAATAATATCGTGGACCATCACAATACATCGAATTACAAGTTTCTTTGCTTAAATTAAGAGTTATGGTGCAGCCATAGCTAAAAAAAAAAAAGATCCTTTGCTCCATTTCAGTGCAGACTACAAGAAGAAATAACACTTCTAAACACTTTTAAGTCTTAGGTCTTTGGATTAAGTCTTGTCAAGGTATTTTAAGAGGAAAAATTAGCATATTCACAGTTTTGTTCGCCTCCAGAAAATATCGCAATAAATATCATACCGTGAGATGTATATCATGAAAATATCGTACAGAGAGATTTGGATATTGTTACAGTCCTAAACGTGAGCCTCCCCACCACATCGTGAGCTTTCCCACGATATCGCAATAAATATCGTACCGTGAGGTTCATACCGTGACGATATTGTATCGTGAGACTTGGATATCGTTACACCACTACTATTTAGTATTTCTCTCAAACAGAAAACACTCTGTTCTACCATGCTAGTTAGATAGTTTCTTTTTCTTCGGTCATTTAACATAATCACTAATCATTTTACAACGGTTTAACACAGAGAAATGCATGACACTAATGTTAGTCTACAGACCGAAGGGGTTTAGGATGACATTTTAGCACTTATTATGCCTAACCCTTTTAACATATAGAACAGAATACAGGACGGCAGAACTATTGACAGAAAAAAACACTTCTAAACTTCTCAACTCAGTCACTTACTTTTATTGAGGTTCCGGGCCTATTGATGGCCAACTAGTAATGAAATCATCACAGATCCATTGATTTTGGTTGGATTTTTATTTTATTTTTTTCTGTGGATTGACTATACTGTTTGAGGAAAAGAATGGCATATTGGCTGATGTCGTAACTTGGGTTAATAATTGATTGCCAATGAGGTAAAGATGAAAATATTGGAAAAAAGTGAAAAAAAAAAAAAAAAAAAAAGCCACATTTTTTTTTTGCATTAAACTGAGCCAAAATCATGTAGGAATGTGTTTTAAGTATTATTTTTTCACATGTGTTCTTTGCATCTCAAATGCATTTATTGACAGCTTACCCAACCCACTGTGGATTTCAGGAAATTTTTAATTTTTCTAAATTTTCTATCAAAAAATGAAGGTTACGTACACTAAAATGGCCACAGTTTTTTTTCGTAATATTTCTGGAAGAGCTGACCCTCCAATTATTGGTCCTTATTTTCACAGTTAACAAAAAAACACAAATAAAAAGTATGGCAGATGATGTCAGGTTCAACCCATTTTCTTGAGCTTTTGAGACTTTGGCTCCCTGACTATCATCTTTTATGAATGCTAGAAAGAATACATACAATACTTAATTCTTTTGGTGAAGTTTCAGGTCTGGAATAGCCTATTTCAACTGAACAAAAGATAAAATGTAGCTGTTAACTTGAAATCTTATCACAAGATGGAACAGAGTATTTTCAGATTTGGAGATGTAGACAGACTAATAATAAAAGATTCCTCAAACATGTGTGAATGAAACAAAACACAACTCCAGGTCTGTTTTTGAGGAGGTAACAACATTCTAACATGACTTAAATTTCACAAGAGTCAATTTTTCTGATCCTCCACCAGATAAGTTACACAATGCACCTTTAAGTAAATAAAATAAACTGGATTTTTAAAACAGTGACAAAGACTGATGAAATACACTCGACACTGATCTGTTATATAAATAGCTGACCAGTGGTGACACCTTTTAACCTTGGTGGACCCTCAAAGTGCTTTAAATGAAGGGAGCGCTCACCCATTCACTTCAATCACGCTCGTACATCAGGGCACTCAGACACTAGAGGAGGGCTAAGTGCCTTGCCCAAGGACACGTGGCTCCATCGCTCACTCCACTGACTGATGATGTGGCAGAAAGAACATCTAATACAACAGAATCAAGTCCCTAAAAAGATCTAGTAAGTAAAACGGGAAAATTAGGCAGGCACGGACTGGGACCAAAAAACAGCTCTGGAACTTTCCCCCACAAATAAACCAACCACTGGGGCCTATTAGTAATTAAATAGTTAATAATGAATAATTTACCGTATTTTTCGGACTATAGGGTGCGCTGGATTATAAATCGCAATATCAGTAATGTTGGATTCTCTTGTCTCTTTTCATACATAAGGCACACTGGATTATAAGGTGCATTAAGTGAAACAAACGGACTGCACTTGAGACTGATCCTTACTCCAGGCGTCCACGATCCATTGGCAGATCGTGGTGTAATTCACTCGGTGTCACCTCCCTGTCTTGGTGAATGTGGATTATGAATGTGAATGTGGGTGGATCGTTTAAGTTTGTTTTTAATTTCCTACAAGGACGACTCAAATACACATTGGAGTAATAATGTGTTTAATGCAGCTTTGCGCACATTTGTTTACGTTTTACAGAAACAAAACTTAAAACCACATGGCTCATTTGCATAAGCTATAAGCGTTGAAAAAAACAGCTCGCTCCTTGCGTGCTGATGCGGTTCAGCTTCTGTCGGACTAAAGGGTACGACTCAGTGGAATATGAGTGTTCTCTCTGTGACAGTGAATGTGCTGATGATGGTGAGTCTGGTCTGTGCTTCTATTGCACTGGAGATGGTTCATGGGAAACTTTTCAGAGACTTCACACCTTACCAAAGTCGTACTAAAACATTTTGACAGATTTTTGAGCGCCGTGTACCACATAAAACGGTTCAAGGTCAGTAAACACAACCAGAATTAATACATAAGGCGCACCAGATTATAAGGTACACTGGAGATTTTTGAGAAAATTAAAGGATTTTAAGTGCACCTTATAGTCTGAAAAATATGGTAAATAAATCAATAATGACATAAGAAAGAAGAAGAAAACACACAAAGATTAACTACTTCTAACTGTTTATGAACAAAAACCCTAAATCACTTCATTTCAACGTGACTTAGCTTTATTGTCTTTAACTTTTCCCATCCACCTTTCTCCTTCCGCTTTCTGTTCTCATCGTTGACATGTGATGAAACCAACAAGTAACCCACTATTCTTTGTCACCTTTTAGGCCTATGCAATATATGCTTCACAAATGGGTAAAAAATCTACCGCTGCATGACATCACAAAACGGAAAAGAGCATTTTCATCTTTGGATATGTAGACAGACTAATAATAAAATGTTATTCAAACAAGTGTAAATGAAAAAATCGAGTTTTTATCATTGGCGTTTTTTATACAAAGCCAGATCTTTTTTATCATTTAATATTTTTGAACAGTATAAAAGAATTAGAACTTCGCACATCAGTTACTTGAGACGGGTGCGTTGGAGGAGAGGGAGCAGTCCAAGAACATGGAGAAAAATCCCGCACACCGTCTTACTTGCAAATTGTGAGGTTTATTAGGACAAACCGTGTAACATTTTGGCACTAGGCCTGCTTTGCCTGACAAAGGCCTAGTGCCAAAACGTTGCACGGTTTGTCCTAATAAATCTCACAATTTGCAAGTAAGACAGTGTGCGGGATTTTTCTCCAGTCTTTTTGAACACACTTTTATTTCTTCACCTTTGGAAAACTGTAGCACACTTTACACAGGCATCTCTCAAAACACACTCTACATCTGCAGTTAGTCCAAAACTCAGCGGCATGACTTTTAACAGGAACCAAAAAATGAAAACATATCGCACCAATCCTAGTGTTTTTACACTGGCTTCCTGTTCAATTTAGAGTTGATTTTAACATTTTAGTGTT